TAGCGGCCCCCCCCCCCTCCCCGCTCCTTGCTGCATCCCGGTTGCCATGGCAACAGCGTGCAGCAGCACCCGCGCATCCCGACGCTCCGGAAATTTTCCGCCGGGAAGGGAACGCAGGTCCCCTCCCTGTCCCCCATAGCGCAGAGAACGGCCAACTCGAGGCATGGAATGAGGCCCAGGCAACTTCCCCCTGCCTAGAAGCTTCACTGCAACATTAGGATTCAACCCACTCCTGCACCGAGCGTGTCCGTGCTCAGCTGCTGTCTGGGGACAATTTTCCCCCCCCTTTCCAGCTGCTTTTCCCATTGGATTCCCCCTCCACGGCTGCAGCAACTTGGCCCGGAGCAGGGCACAAAAAGCCTCCCTGGAGAGCAGCAGTGGATTCTCCAGTGTCTAGTAGTGGGGTTGAGCCGGTCACTCGTTGTGTTAACCCCATCCGTGCTGGGAAGGGACAGGACGGAGCAGGATCCCCCTTGGGAAACGCGGCCCACGGGAAATTCCTGGCAGTGCTGGGGCCACCCGACAGGCACAGCCTATTTTTAGGACCGGGCTCTGATCCGAAGGGGCTATTTTTAGCCCGACGCTTTGTAAACACCTTGCGACTTCCTTTCGGATGGTCTTTTCCCGGCGGATCGGAGCTGTCCCAAGTCAATTCACCCCCTCTGCAACATCCCCCCTGGTTTTCCCGGTCTTCCTGGGAATAAACCGAGTCCGGAACGGGCAAATCAGAGGCGCGACAGTTCCATGCGGATCACTCTGAGCTTTTCCTGGCTTTTCCCGTGGGCTTTCTCCCATGGCGTGGGAAAACTCCTGGCCTGAGCGCAAGGCACGCGGGAAAAATCTCTTTCCCGGGCCGGGAAAAGCTCCCACCCACCTGACAACGGGTGATTTGGCAGCACCCCCAGTCCAACAGTCTGGAAATGGGGGGTTTTCCCTGTTTTTCTTGCCTCTCTGGGATGGTCATTTTAAATCCCTCCTTCTGGCAATTCCCAGTTTGGGAGGAACTGGGATTTCCACACAGTTACTGGCTTCAGTGGGATGGATCCTGCTGCGGACGCATCCCTGCCCACCCAGCTCCGGCCCCTCTTCCCAGCTCCGACCCCTCTTCCCAGCGCAGATCCCGCTAGAGGGAGCCGGGACACAGCGAGAGCCACCGGCTCCGGAGACGGGACAGCCCCTGCCCTGGGGAGCATCCAACTCCAATGGCCTCCATAAAAACGGACCCTCCGGTGGGATAAGCCTCATCCTGCAGTAGGGATACCCCATTCCAGCAGCTCCCATCTTGGGAAAACTCCGAGCATCGCGGGGAGCTCTGTGCACAGCAAATATCACCACCAGATTTTGACCTCAGCTCTTTTTCTCAAGGAAAAAACGTCCTGTGTCAAGGAAAAGCCGGAGTTTCTTGGGCTGATTCCAAGGCCAGAGGAGGAATTCTCTTTTTTTTTTCTCTCTTATTCCGGAGCAAAGTTTGAGGTTAATTAAATGAGATGTTTATGGGGGTCAGTAACGACACGGCCGATGTTAAACCTAAAGACGATGCTGTCATCTCCCATTCCCTGTTTCCTCCATCACTTGGTTTCTGGCAAGGAAATTGCTTGGAAAAAAAAAAAATCACATCCCCCCGGGATGCTTTTGAAGGTTGGATTTGGGCTGGTTTTGCTTTCGAGGCCAAGCCATCCAATCTCCCCAGCGGGATTCCTGTTGGGATGGCACCGCGGCAGATGTCACCAGGATGATGCAGGACCCTGCGGACAGTGACGCTGGGTGACAAAGAGGAAGATCCCACGGGATATGGCTGGAGGAGAGGCAAAATACTCCCTAGCGACGGACATGGCCTGAGGTGGCCGCGTTGTTCCAAGAGCTGGTCTCCTCGATGGGCGGCACCGGCCACGGGCTCGCTTGGATCTGCCACTTGGCAGCCACCTCCATCCATCCCTGCTCCAGCCACCTCCATCCAGGTACCAGGGACCTCCATCCATCCCAGGTACCAGATTATCTCCATCCATCCCTGCTCTGGCCACCTCTATCCAGGTACCAGGGATCTCCATTCATCCCAGGTACCAGTTATCTCCATCCATCCCAGGTACTAGGTATCTCCATCCATCCCTGCTCTGGCCACCTCTATCCAGCTACCAGGTATCTCCATCCATCCCAGGTACCAGATTATCTCCATCCATCTCTCTTCCAGCCACCTCCATCCAGGTACCAGGTATCTCCATCCATCCCAGGTACCAGATTATCTCCATCCATCCCAGGTACCAGGTATCTTCATCCATCTCTGCTCCAGCCACCTCCATCCAGGTACCAGGTATCTCCATTCATCCCAGGTACCAGGTATCTCCATTCATCCCAGGTACCAGGTATCTCCATCCATCCCTGCTCTGGCCACCTCTATCCAGGTACCAGGTATCTCCATATATCCCAGGTACCAGGTATCTCCATTCATCCCAGGTACCAGGTATCTCCATCCATCCCTGCTCTGGCCACCTATTTCCCACGTACCAGGCATCTCCATCCATCCCTTCTCCAACACCTCCAACCAGGCACCAGGTATCTCCATCCATCCCAGGTACCAGGTATCTTCATCCCCGGTACCAGGTTATCTCCGTCCCTGGCACCAGCCACTTCATCCATTCCTGGGAACACCAGGCCCTGTGTCCCAGGAAAAGACTCCATCATTCCCAAGGCAACAAGGGGTTGCTGCACAGGAGGCCCTAAACTGGGGCCACAGAGATGACACTCAGCATCATCCTGGTCTTGCTCTCCCTCTGGAGATGCCATCCATCCACCTATCCATCCATCCATTGAGGGGTTTCTGCACAGGTGACCCTAAGCTGGGGCCACAGAGATGACACCCGGCATCATCCTAGTCTTGATCTCCCTCCGGAGATGCCATCCATCCATCCATCCATCCATCCATCCATCCATCCATCCATCCATCCATCCATCCACCCTTCCCAGCCGGCCTGCTCGCCGCTCTCCCACGGCTGAGGCCAATGGGAGGCGCTTTCCAAGCCGGAGCGTCTCGGAAAGGAAACGAGCGCATAAATCAGCAGCTCCGAGCGCAGCCCGCTCCGGTTACTAAGAATATTCCCGTGTTTACCCGCAGCCCTCCGGCAGGACGTGTTTGCTTTTGCCTCGGCCGGGGTTTTTCCCAGGCTCCAACGGAGCTTTGCGGCGGCGGGAGGAGGAGGAGGGCGACTTCAGCCCAGACGGAGCCCAGATGGGCGCGATTTAACCCCATTTTCTTCTTCCTTTTGTCCCCGGACCTTGGGGCTCCGCGTGTCCCAGCAAATCGCTCCCTCCCAACTTGGCAGAGCCCGGGCGCAACTCGTTG